AGTTTAATACTGTACTGCTTTTTCTTCATATATTAATAGTTTTGCATCAGTAAACTCCCACTGAACTGCCCTACAATTCTAAATTCCCTTCCATTGTGCTATTCCCACTTCCATAGTTACTCCTGCAGCTGAGGCCACGACTGACTTCTCCATTCTCAGCCAGCCTGTGGCCTTCTGATCCTGGGAAAAGACAGAGTGAATACAGAACACTAAATATTGCAGGCATGCCATTCTTAACAGAGCACAGTGCAAAGCGAGACTGCTGACTGTTGTGAGAAGTTGTTAGGTACACTGTTATGCTGTAAAAAAGCAGAGTAAGTACATAAGCTTGAAAGACTCTGCATCATGCAAAGACATCACCTAATGCTAGTACAAAAAGAAGCTGCAGACCAAATTCACCCATTAAAGTTTAACAAATGCAACAGAGATATACTTAAGACAGCTCAGTTTGCTGGTTACAGAAACCTTTAACGTGCATGATTTCATAGCAAGCAGTAGCTTGGAAACAACGTGTGAGTGGTGGGTACAGAGTCTTTGGATACTGGCATAGCTAAAAATGCCACCTTTAATACGGTACCATGTAAAAATCAGGTATCATGACTTTTAAACTTAAGAATCTCAACCTACACATCTCTGCATAGTTTTGAGAATCAAAACACATGGAGCTTGGGAAGGAGAGACAGGTTTCAAAGTGAGCGTGGCATGGCACTATCAGTTCGAAGTCCTTCACTTTCAACTTCCTTCAGCCACTCAAGTCATACTAAGCAAAGACTTTTCAGGGAAAGATCTGACCTATACAGCAGGCACTAACTCAGGTAGCAAAAAGTATTTTCAAATCATAGGTGGAACTTGCAGGGTGAACAACAGGCATGAGGGTGCATGGAGGACAGAAACAGGTAACTGAGTATCCAACTTCAAATGATAACACTGATTTTGGAACTGCTTCCGTTTAAGACAGAACCCACTTTATGCTATCAAGTGACAATGCAAACATTTGCCATGATGTGTTTCTGAGAGCTCTTGGATTCTGGCCTCCTTCTTCAGCTAAATTAAGATTAAATTCTGAGCTAAACTCAACATCCTTTGCCCCAAGAATTAAACATCCTCCCTTTCTACCTAGTAACACTCTAAGTGATGAGCATTACCTGAAGCCACAAGATACAGCAGCTTGAGAAGGAGGAAACTATAATGGTATTATGATAAATATGTCTAAAAGGCCCTCATGCTATAGCAAATGTAAATAAAGTGTAGCAGCCCCTTGCTGGGACTATCAAGACAGTCATAGCTTGTAGGGGATCACTGAGTAAGTGAAAGGTGCATTTGGAAACACGAAGTATTGCACAGCTCTATGTTTTAACACACTATTGTAAAGGAAACGTGATGCTTTTGCTTATTGTTTGTGTACATGAAATCGCTATAGGGAACTCGAAGTGACTGCAGCTCTCAGAGGCTTAAACTGTGATGCAGATTTAAGCAAGTTATTTAATCTGTCCATAAGCTTACTATTAAGAGTTTCTCTTTTCAGGTCAATCTCTCCTCTACAGGTCAACCTGCTTAAAGGTCTAAGCTTATTAACTTTGTAAGAACTTAAGTGCTGGGGACAAAGGAAAAATCCACACACTTAAAAGATCAAATACCTTTTCCCCACGTTTTATTTTAAGAGGGAGATGAAATAGAACACGACTTGTTTTCACATGGTATAGGGTATTTGTACCACAAGAGGGCACTAAGCCCATACATAAAGCAGATGATTAAGCTACTGCTGTTACAGAGTCCTAAATTCAGAAGTATGCATTGCTCATTGCTTTCTCAACCATACATACTATATAAAAGCATCTGGATATCTTAATGGCATGCTCATACATTCATAATGTACTCACACTGCCTCTACTTCCAACAAAAGACAGTGAGACTAAAGAAACTTGAAGCTTGAAACAAGTTGGGCTTCATGTTTGAAATACCATCAGTTTATTACTACTAAAGTTTAAGACTGAATTTTGATCTTCTCCAAAAAAAATCTGCAGTGCATGAGCTCATAATGAATTGGAACTGTCAGTCAGAGGCAAATGCTTACTGTCAGACAAAAGTGTTTTGAGTACAAATGACTTCTACTTGTCCAAGCAGCAATTCTCCTTATACACGTAAGGAAAAGTCCTACACAACAGCTGTTAATAGATGCTTCAAAGGACAGCTGACCATCACACTAAAAACATGTTTCAGGTACATTATAACCATTTTAATAAGGCTTGACAACATCTGAATGGTCACATCAGCCAATAATGGGCCACAGGATCAATCCCTTAGGCTTTAGCTGGATATTCTTCTACAGACCTTACCACATGCTAAAAGCTCCTTGCAGATTTTTAAGCCATAAAGGTGTGCAGAACAAACCCTGGAAATGCACCATTTCCCTATCAATCAAAAATAATGATGGTTTTCTCTCTTAGCTTAATGAGCAGCACAAAGCCAAAGTATCTCATTCCTCCAGAGAGTTAACCCTGTTTTTCACATTTAAGTTTTTACACTTGTTATGCAAGTCTCTTGGTCCCGTTATTTGTGTGCCAGATATGTGGCTGCTCAAGTTATATGTCAAGCAAAATAAAGTTTCTGCTACTTAACATGCTTCAGGAACTGCCTTGCCAGTAACAGAACAGTTGATCACTCAGTAGCAACACCCTTAACACTGTCAATAAAAAAGCATTGGTCTGAGGTTTTTAATTCCTCTTCTCACATGCATGAAGTGAACTGGGTTTGAAAAACAACTTTATCTCTAGAACAGAGGTAAGTTAGAGAAGAGAAAAATGTACCAGGCAGCAATACAGACAAGAGCACATAAGCAAGTAACCAAGTCCTGTGCTAACAGCAAATGTCCCAACATGCTGGAGTAAATTCCTACTTCACCTATACACCAAGCACATAGTGTCATCAAAAATCAGACTATACATTCAGACTTTTGATCCCATATGCCATCAAATACTAGCATATAACTCCCACTGACCATTTGCTGGATTCTGCCAGCAGCTCATGGTAGCAGAGCAGGTAACCCCATCTCTTAGTAGTAGGTTCAGTTCTTGGGAAAAGATGCTTTAGACAGGCAAAGCAAAACCACAGCTATCATGTGGGCCTACAACCCAGAGCACAGGCAGCCCTACTGCTGTTACTTTCAGATACAGTGATTGAGCACTTATCCATGTATTTACAAATATGCTGCTTTAGCTCTATACTTGAAGTCCCATCCAGAAAGGTGTGTGAAAGAAGTGTTCAGTTTGCATCTCGTCATCAAAACATGCCTCCCAGTCTGTCATGGAGCCAAACAAGAGCAGATTATGAAGGCTATATGATATTAATGTTTTAATAAACGCTGTAAGTGCAATAAGTAATATGAAATATTAGCATCTGAATACAGTTTGCATTTTTAAGGTTCTGTTGTGGTTGAATAATTGTATGTAAGGAAAATTCAAACTTACAATCTCCTTTCAACTGTTTTCTTTGGACTGAAGGATGAACAGGAGACCTCCAATATTTCAGGATACTTGTAAACGTGAAGTGTGATTCCTGGGTATGTATTCTTGTAATAATTCTGGTTTTGGAGACTTAACCTCCCCTACACACAGCCTGTGAATGTTCCTCTCGAGTCAGCTGAAGTTTACAGTGGGGAAAAAAGTATTTCCCCAAACCTTATAAAAATAAGACAGGCAAATCCACCCGTCCATTTTTGAGATGAGTTTTGACTTAAACCACAAATCATCATCAAGGTTGAATTAACAAATGTGTTTATTTTACACTCTGCATAAGAATGGACAAAGAACATTTACGCTACTTGTCAGGTTCATACTTTCAGGTTTCTTGCACTCAGACAAAAGACGACCTAAAGGATATTATAAATAGAAATGAGAAAGAAAGAAAGATTAAGACAGGAAAAGTCCCAGAAAAAGGCAAAAATAGAGAATAAAATACTTAAATACTGGAATACTGAAATTCAATGAGAAGAATTAACATGCTAAGGCATAGTCAGCTCTCTCTTGATTTAGCAGCCTCACAAGTTCCTTAACTATCAAAACCAATTCCAATGTACCAGATGAACACACTCATGCTCACTTTGTTAACCTGTGGCCAAGTGAGCAAGAAAGGAAAGAAGCACTTTTAGTACAGGTTTTTCCTCAAACTTCCTAAAGTATACATTATATATATATATATACACACACACAGTATACAGTATATATATATATACATACAGTAATAGTTGACCTCAGAATGAATACCCTGGATCAGGAATCAGTGCAAACAGCAGCCAAGACTTAGCCAAACTAGAGCAGTGTATTTTTAAGTAATATGGCAAGTTTAAGGAAGAAAAGCATACAGAAGAAAAGAAAGATGTAAAAGATCATTCTGGGGTTCAAACAGAGCCATTGCTCATTGCCGTCTCAGTCCTGTCAATATAATTTTAAGTTACTTTCTGCTTAACTTCAAAATAGAGTGGCTGTCATTAAGGTTTGATTGGATCAACTTTAACCTTGCAAGTTACAGCCATATTTAAAAGAAGATCTTAATAAAAAGCAAACAAACATTGAATTTTATTTCCAGAACAGTGGAAGTGTCTCTTGTGATGAAAGGTGCAGGTTTCACTACTGCTTACAGTATGGCAGGAGTTCTAGAAGAAGGGCAATGCAACATTAAAGAGATTCAATGAAAGGTACCAGTGTGTTACCATGATACAAGTCGGTAACAGACCCATCAGCTGGCCCATTGTATACCACTTAACGTGTTGCAGTTAGCCAAACAGCATTAATTTCTCTGCACAACTGATGTGCTGTGAATCACAGCAAAAATAGATAAGACCATAAAAGACAGCATTATTCTAATGGCAGAGTCCTGGAATTTCACCTACAATGGCATCATCCATATTGTACCAGGAGATACAATGGCCTCTCACCTGTTTAGAAAATTTAATTCTAGATGCTAAATCAGACATTTCCCCATGTCATTCCACTGGAGAGGGAATTAAAAACCAGTAATTCAGAGGAAGTTCTAGCACTACTGAAAATCAAGAGCATTTCTCCCATATAAGGTTTGAATTTATAAACAAGATTATACGGAGAGATACCTTAGTAACAATTTTAGAGAAGGGATCGTCAAGTACATTCATAAGTGTCATGGGTTCAGCAGTAGCAGTCATTTTTCCCCTTCTTGGTAGCTGGTGCAGTGCAATGTTTTGACTTTCAGCTCGGGAACAGAGCTGATAACAAGGATGTTTTGGTTTGGCCAAGGACTTTGTGAGCCTCATGCTCTGCCAGAGGGGAAGCCAGGAGGAAGCAGAGACAGGACACCTGACCCAAACTGACCAAAGAGGTATTCCATACCACAGCACGTCATGCCCAGGATGTAACTGGGAGTTAGCCGGAAGGGCTGGGAGACTGCAGGGTTGGAGGAGGTATCGGTCAGAGCTTGGTCGGGCTGGGGGGGGCAAGTTACTGGTGGTGAGATGATGTATTCTCTTCCCTTGTTATTTCCTTTATCACTATTATCATTGGTGGTAGCAGTAGTGATTTGTGTTATACCTTAGTTACTAAACTGTTCTTATCTCAACCCGTGGGAGTTGCATTCTTTTCGATTCTCCTCTCCATCCCTCCGAGAGCAGGGGGAGGGCAAGAAAGGGGGGGAAGTGAGCGAACGAATTACCTGACTGGGTTTAAACCACGACAATAAGGTCCTTCAAGATTGCTCATGAGCAGCGTTTTAGCCATATGCATGTACAGACCAAGTACTTGAAATATTCAGTGGGACTGACTGAAACAAAAGAATCCATCTCCAAAACATAGTATTGATAGGGTTTCTTTTAACAAAAGTAGCCAGTTAGGACAATAAAGCATTCTATCTCAAATATTTGGAAGGTTAAGAGCAGTGACCACATACCCCATATAAACAAAATTACATTGGCAGAACACAGTATGTTCTGTAAAGACTGAACACTAGAAAATGACATCCAAAGTACTGAACACACTGAAAGGATATGAATTAAAACAAAACTGCTATTTACCACATTCTTCAGCTTTAAGAAATCACATCTGTCTGGCTGTAAAGTTTGAAGGGATGTACAAAGGGTCTGTTGAGTAGCCTAGCAGCAGCAGCTGTGCACTTCCATACATACTGAACGCAGCATTACCCATTTACCAGTAAGAGATATTGGTGAGGCTGTTAAGGTACTACTGACACACTCAGGAAGTTATCTGCACTCAGTGGTAGCCCTCTAAATATTTAAGAAGTTATTCCCAAACACTTCTTAGTGGACTGTAACTTTTCCATTAAAAGCAGTGCCTCAACCTTGGCCCTTATAGGGAGAAAGCACTATAAAGGGAGGACCCTTGGAAAAAAAAAGTCATCATGAATTTCAGGTGCAACACCCAAGGCAAACAGACACTATTTCACTTGTGGTCCATCTTTCAGCAGTTGCTTACCACTGCACATAGAAGAGGTGATGTTGTACAGAAAGGGATAGAACTGCAGACAGCGGATCATCTTCAGGCTGCTTTCACACTCCAAGCATTTGGTCGTCAAATCCAACGCATGTCTGAAGGCCTGAAGGGCTCCACTAATGTTGTTCAGAGCCAGATATGCATTTCCTAGGCTCAAAAATGTCAGCGGCTGCGAAGAGAAAAGTAACATAGAATAGAATCATAGAATCATAGAACATACCCCAGCATAAGTACGTTCACTGTTTAAAATTGAAGCCAACTAGGAAAACCCCTGTCAATCCACACCCTCCCAAATTTGTCTGGATAGAATTTAGAAAACTTCTAAAACAGGGACTGCCTATTCTTAGAATGGAGAACTAACAGCTTGATGCATTGGTGCTAAACAAAAGCTGTTTTGACATAAGGTTGTGTTCAAGATTCCATCATCCTACAATGAAAAGCAGCTGTTAAATACAGACAAGCTGAAATGAAGCATTAAATACTTACTTATAACCCATCACGAACACAGTGCTTATTGCACAGAGTAGCAAAGAATTAAACTGAAATGCTTGAAGACATTCTAGAATGATTAAGAGTCAACAAACCCATAAAAGTATTGCTACTGTCTAGCAGGACAGATGCATTGCATTCATCATGAGTGTTCAGGATTTACTTGAGCAGAACTAGGTTACTGAAAACACCAATGTCACACTAGCTTAGGAGTATACATTTATGTTTACTTTTAATTCTTTATAAAACTTAATATTTTTGTCCACTGCTTTCAGCCAGTCTCCCTAAAATAGGTATTTTTTACAAAGACCAAATTAAACACCTTTTTCACTGGGCAGAATTGAATTAGCGCTTAAATACAGGCACAGAGTAAAGCATTACATTCTGTTTGTTAACTGAAAAGACTTTCGCTTAGAGAAAGCAATTTGCTGCAATTAACAGCATAATGCTAGAATAATGACTGTAATATTGTAATTTAGAAATCATTTTTTTCCACTGCAATAATTTTACATTCATTATCTGAATGCGTGGAGACTGATCAGCAGCACAGGATTTTTCCAGCTCCTCTTAGCTCGTATTATTAAATGCCAATCAGAAAAAGGCACAAGCTTTTGCTGATGTAGCACATCCTTCACTCCCTGTAGCTATAATTCACTTTTATTTGTATTTACTTTCCACTATACTCCAGGAAATACTATTTAAGTACAAATTCTCCTGCTATGTTTTTTGATACTATAGGTACTACACGACTGAAAATGCCTGAAAACCTAGGAGCAGGCATTATTATAACAAGGTAGGACTTGCCAATATTTCTGAAAAGCCCTACTTATACAGCATGGTCCATAGGATCCTTCAGCTCCTCCCCTCCAAGGCTGTGTTTTCAAGTGTTCTTCTTAAGGCACATCATTCAAGTATGGTTCTTTCTACAGTTCCTTTCTGCACTCTTACCTGCCACCCAAATTGGCTAGATTCCTTTCCAACAACTGCAAAACTGTTTTTGAATGCTACACTGAAAAGCCTTATTCTGTTTTTAGCTTTTTTATGTGACTGGTGGCCCAGCAGGTTTCGGCTCTCTGCTTATCTAACTACAGAGGTAGAAGCAGAGGGAAAATGTCACATGAACTTCTTAGTGAAGCATCTCAAATGTAACACCAAAAAGTACTCGTTGGAGAAAAGGTGTCTCCTGCCAACCCTCCTTCCCTTTCCTTGTCATAACTGTTCTGGCCAGCCCAGTAGTTTAAACAGTTTATATAGAAACTTTCTGTGTGTCATAGGTAACACCCTACTGAATGTTTATAATATTAACATTCAGAGGTACAAAAACCTGGTTTGAATCTGTGGTTGAAAGTAAAGTCACCCAACAACTAGAACACAGCCTTTCCTCTAGGTATATATAGACAAAATCTAAGGATAAATAAAAGAGTACAGATAAAAGCCAAGTGGCATAGAAAGATGCCTCTACAGCCACAGACCTTGGTAACGTATGTGCTACTTCAAGCTTTTAAAAATCAAGACACAATACCAACAGCATTACAGATCTCTGTTTTAGAAGAAGGTGTTGCCAAAACACTAGGATTAGATTCCTTAGAAGCACTGCTGATAATATAGGTTTGGGAAATAAAACATCTGTCATCTAGTTTAGAAGAACTTCTGCTCTAGATGTTCATGTTCTCAGCAACCAGCATCACCTCCAGTACAATCAAGGATCTGTTGCAAATCACAACCTGGAATTTGAACTGTATGTACAGCTAAGTAAGCACAAGTAAGTAACACGTATTTAGAGTATAATGAAGGAAAAGACATTCACTGCTGAATGAACACAAAAAACTATCATCTTACCTCAGAGGCATTGATGGCCAAAGCCCTCAACAGGAGCCTGCTAGCATCCAAATGAAGACCATAATGAATCAAGAGGTTAGCAAGATTGACGAGAGGGATGTCCTGATACTCATGTGGAGCCAAATTAAATGCTTTTTGCAAACAGGTGATAGCGAAGGTGCCATTTCCAACTGCACGCCAGTACAATCCAGCTTCATTAAGCACAAGCCATAGAGGACCTTCCAGCTATAGGAGAGTCAGAGAGAAGAATGAAAACACCTGCAAAGAGGTGTTCAAGGAAGACATAATTGCCTGCTCTTTGGTAAGAAACAAACCTCACCATTGCATACTACCCTATTAACTAGAGACAAATTACCCTTTGTTGTGATTGCTAGCAGATTATTCAATCTGCTCTACTCAAATTTATGTGATTTACAGTCTGAACTGTAATTTAGTAGCAGCTGTTGCTCACACTCTACTCATACGACTGCCTTATACTGTGACCACAAAGTCCCTTAAAATATACAAGTGATAAGTTAGCTTGCTTCAGGAAGCAACATTTGTGAGCCACTTTGTCTTAAAATTACATTAATACTGATCTAGGTATAAATGTTACAATTTGAAGGGCAGGCAGCTTTTAAATTGCAGTTAGATGTGCTTCCAGGGCTATATCCAACATTGAGGTTTCTTGTCAATTTAAGGTTTCAGAGTTGGTGGGTTTCTTAGATTTAGGTATCAATTTGTCTTCTGAAAGTTGACAAGTGACACACACTCGATACTGTTTAAAGATTATAAAATAGCAAGCAAGAAGTAAGGGCACATGGAAGAATGGAAGAAGTCTCAAATAGACCTTGAATGCTCCTTCCCCTTCTTTCACCTATAATAGAATGAACAACCACTCATCCTAGAGGAGAAAACAGGAAACTTTAACACACTGACAACTGGACAGTGCAGTGTAAAACATCCACTTTCAGAATGAGCAGTTTGAAATGGTTTAGAAACATTTACATTTTAGTTTTAATACTTCCACCATTCCATGTTACCCAATTCTACACAGTTTGAAGATGAGCGTGACGACAGGAATTAAAGTCCAATCTAACCTATGTGTCTAAAGCCCAAAGGCATGAGGAGGAAATGTGCAGCTAGGATTAAAGTGAAACAGATAAGGATCTTTACAGCAGTATTGTGTTAAGCCAATAGAGCTGCCATTATAGTAATACTGTGCTGAAAAGGTTAACCAGCACAAAGATTTTCTTCCAGATTTTAAAACCAGCCTCATACAGAAGAATTCTACCTATGGTTCAAGATGAACTGGAAGAAATCAATTGGATGTATTATCTCTTTGTTCTGAGTACCTTACATAATCTAGAAGTCTAAGAGTATTTATCCCCCCTATTTTGCAATGCATTTACATAATATTACTTGCATGTTACTCATGCCAAACTCCTCACTGAATTACACTCCTCACTGATTACACTTCAGATCTCAATGACCTTTGTTTAACTAAATTCTCAGCAAGTTATTAGCACTTTGTCTTTCCCAATACAAAGATAGCAACTGTGGCACTCCTGCTCTAGAAAGTTTATCATTAGCAGAACAGGCATGACACAACACTGTTCCTACATCAGCATCTAAATGACCAGGAAGTTCAGACTTCAACATGAAGGCAACAGACTACTACAGATAAAACCAAAATACCTATGCACAGCAACAGTAAGACATTAGACATGTACAGGAGTGTTCTGAACAGCATAATAATAGGAATCAACTCCTACTATTAGTTCTTCTTCTGGGTAAGACAGGTGCACATAGTAAATGGTACTGATTTTAGACTAAAAACAATACATACATACACTGCCTTGACACGACTTGTACAAGAGAGTTAATTTGAGAAGTATCAGCTTGACACATCAAAAAGAGTCAGCCTCCATCTCAATGCTTCCTGTCATTTACTTGTGATGATTCTCAAAGGCCCCACGCATGATGGAGGTGGCATTCCACAGGGTGCTATACGGATGTACAATCTTTGCCCCACAGTGCTAATTATCCTGACAGA